CTCGATTTTATACGTCGGCGAGTTGGCGTCGGCGAGTTGGCGTCGGCGAGTTGGCGTCGACGAGTTGGTCCGTCGGCGAGTTGACCGTAATTCGTTCTTCCAGTAACCCTTTTTTTCGTTAGCTCAATATTGTTTTCCAGAATTGAAAATAACAGTTTTAAATAAGCTAACAAACAGCTTTGTGTGCTAATCAAAAATTTTGATCAAAGTAATTAACTAGCACACTATGTAAGGAGGATGCTATGGTAAAAATGGTATGTTGAAGCCAGAGAATGAAACCATGCCTCAATTTAAAAGTATTTCCTCTGCCATGGCTTGTAAGTGGGAGCTAAAATCATCAAAAAAGGTGGCATCCTAAGTCAATTTTTTAGCCCATTTGAAGACTGTTTTCATAGGGGTAATGGAACTATTAGGGATCTCAAACCACAGTAGGTGGTAACTTTATTAATGTCCTTTCTTGTGGCAGAAGAAAAAAGTTATTTGATTACATATACTGGAGAGCAATTCTCATGGGAAATAGACATGGTCAACATCACTGGCACATTCTGTGGCTTCGTCAAAACGCATTTTATAGTCAACACTTTGAAATCAGTGCCACTATCATAACTTTATCATAACTTTGTATCACCTCATTTGAATAACAATTTGACATATATGATGTGAAGACAACTTTAATCAAGTGTAGGAAGTCACATATATGGGCACACATACAGGTAAAGGTATCAACTTTGGCTTAGTTACACACCTAGGATTTATCTCCAATGTGGGTTGAAAAAAGTGGTACTTGGTATTGTCAATATCCTGGTGTTGCTGTGCTCTCATAACTTTGAGCCAATGTTTAGCTGCCACCATGTCAGGCACGGTGACCATCACAGGATGACTGGTCTTACTAAGATGTTTGGATACCTGTCCGTGCATTAAACACACCTGATTAACACCTTGAATGAGAGTGATAACTTCTTATCAACAAAATAATCAAGGATGAAAGAAAATGGAACTGCACTGTGTTCTCCCATCCATTTACATTATGCTGACACACCCTCATGGAGAAAAGGGTTGGTGAAATTTTGAAACTCACAGTTATTTTTTGGCTCAAGCAACAAAAAGCACAAAATACCTAGCTTTTCATGAAGAGGCAGAATGATTTAAAATGCACAAATGTGTAATTTTAGTTGAGACGTGTGTTAAATTATTAATATTAATAACTTATTTAGTGAATCAGTTGTTGAATTCTTACTTCAGCTTCTACATAAGACTGATATAGCGTGAAAGTGCTTGAGTTATGAATCTAATATGTTGTATAATTTAACCCCTTGCCCTATGTGGCAGTGCCTACACAAATTTACCCTCCATCATCAGGTAAGTAAGTACTTGTTCTTGACAAAAACATCCTTACCCCTCCACAGAAGCATGTTATAATGCTCATTTAATCCAGTACTGATAATTTCAAATTTTGCACTGAGATGTTTGGCTTAGAGTTGATACTTTAAACTTTTTTTCTCTTAACAAAAGAGCATAATCCCCTAAAACAAACAAAAAGACCATAAAAGATGCCTTCTTAAGCCCTATTATTAGACCAGAATCAAACCCAAAGTTTGGTATGGTTGGTGACAGCAAGTGACCTTTTGACAATTTAAGTAAAGTGCTCTAAACTTCTTCTAGCTGGTATTAAGCAATTCAATCTTATTATCGCATAGCATTATAAAAAAAAGCTTATGCAGGGGACCTCTTCACTTTTCACAATCTCTTAA